GGCTGGGCTCTTAGCTCGGCGCCCGGGCTAAGGGACCCCCACGGGCTGGGCTGTTGGTCAGCAACGGCGAGGAGAGGAGCGGCAAGCAGAGGTGCATCGGATAGAACGAGCAGAAACTTCCATGGCAGGATTAATTTTGAGTAGATTACACGTTTTAATTCGGTAGTGGTCACCGATGCTGTTGGGAGCAGTGCAATAGACTTATGTCTGGCTAACCTTCTAGCCTTGTTTTCATCCAACTGAGGGCACAAGGTGAATTACTTTGAGGAAAGGTTTTGCTCTTCAAGTGGCTCCTCTGCCTCGCTCTGTTAAGGAGCTCCGTTCTCTCTCAGGTTGCACAGCTCCATGTTCCTGACTTTATCTTTTTTTATTTGGGAGAGCTCCTAGGTGGTCCCCAAAGTGAGAAAGGGGTTATTGCCACAGGCAGCAGTGCCTGTCGGGGTGGGTGGGTGTGTGTGTGTACAGAGACTGGGAATACGCAGAGACTGGGACCGAGTGTTGTGAGCAGAACACTGCAAAGCAGTTGCGTGAGCAGCTCTAATGGTAAAGTCGGTTCAAGAAGCCAAATAATTGGAGCTTCTTCCTAGACTGTGTGAAGGCATTAAATGCAATGTTTAAAGGGGTGCAACAGTTGATTTTAAAAGCCAATAAATAATGAGAAAGCGTGAAGCTGGGCTATGATGTGTGCCTGTCATTCTTGGAGCTTATTAAACCTTTGTATTCTGCCCTGCTTTTAATGTAGTTTTCCATTTGTAACCTCCTCTCCCTGCCATTGTGAGGCCACTCACAGGGCTGTTGGAGTACCAGAGAGGCAGAGACAGAACAGCTTTCCAGGCAGAGGGCTGGCTTTGGAGCATCCGAAGACCCTCTTCCGAGTAAAAGCGGCTCATGTACCTCCACAGCCTCGGTATGTCCACCACACTGATGTAGCACTCAGTGCTGTCGGACTGCAAGGTCTTTTGGCTCTGCCTCAACAAGCCCATAAGCCCATGAACACAGCAGTGGAATTTAGCCTATACTGTACTTATGGCATGCAGAGTGATCTAGTTAGTGCTACTTTGGTGTTAGTTGTATGCGTCTTATCTCATTCTTTGAGTTGCTGACATTTAGGGCCTACTTCTATAAGCGCTATCTGTATATGTCTACCTATGATGTTTGTACAAATTCCCTGTATGGGCTCTGTGTAAGACTGGAACAGAAGAGAGATGAGCTTTTTCTGCAATTTATGATGTTTGTTTTTTACACTTAGAAGGAAATTATAGTGCTTATCATTCTCCTAAGAACTTTGTGAATGCTCTGCAGTCCCCATGATGCCTATATTTGTTACACTTGAAAAGTAAGAAACAGGAAAATACTAATTTGCTCGAGGTCTTAGAATTTACCTGTGCCAAAGCTTTAATTTAGAATCTAAGAATTTCTTGGCTCTATCTCTGTGCTCCAACCATGAGAAACAGTGCTTTTCTTCCACATTTGAAGTACAAATTATGTTTAGATGTGTTCCAGTAATTATGAAACGCACCGAGAGAAAGTGTTAGGTTGAATGTAGCTACATTCCTCTGTTTTAACCCAACTCTCCATATTAAAATTTTTGGTTTAGTGAAATGCAAATGTAATTGTGCATTTTTATGTATTTCTTTCAGATTTGCAACCAACATAATGCTGAAGCTCCCGGTTTGGAACAAGTATTTCATAGAATGGCACAAACAGAACCTAATCTGGACCATGACGTATCATGGTTCATCCTTCCGTCATACTGGGCTAAAATGGTTGTGGCAGTAATATCCTTCCTCTGTTTCGCTAACAGCTATGATGGAGATTTTGTCTTTGATGATTCTGAAGCCATCATCAATAACAAGGTTCGTCTTTCTTCTTTCCCCCTGTGCCCATTGACATAAATGGTCATATGAGAAGAAATAATGATGACAGTTAAGTAGGCTTCCTTCTGATACTTTTTTAACTACTTTTTTTTTCTGGTCTGTTTTATTGTGTGGAGTTTATTAAGTAAGCCTTATTTAAAGTTGACAAACAAGTTGTGCAGCAGTACTCTGCTGAAAAGCTAGAAGCATAAGTATGCTTAACATAATATTGTTCCTAAAGCTATCTGAATAACATGACTTGGGTTCTAATGCATACACAAAAAGTGAGGAAATTGAGCAGCTTTGGTTTCGATCTCTCAGAATGTATCCCCTTTTCCTCTTTTATGCTGCTTAACGAGTGTTGCTATCTGGTCAAGGGAGCTTTTTGCCATACTAAGTGGACTTTGCCTTCTTGTCATCTAAGGGAGTATTATCTAGGGTTGCAGCAACTTTAGGTGTGATTTTTAGTAACACTTACTAGCAGGCACCTGTACAATAAGATTGCCTATGGGTCTAATTTATGCTCATTTCTACGTCAGTCAGAGTACACAGAATACCTGCTGATGCTAAAGGGAAGTTTTTTCTTTATCTTCACAGAGTCACAGGTGAATGAGCCCAATGAATAAACTTACTCTGGTTGCAAGATACGTAGTGCATCACTAAGCGATTGTAGGGTGCAGGGGTTCTCCAGCTGTGGTTTGCACCATAAAAATTGCACAGGAGCAGGAATAGCTTCCTTCTCATATGCTCCTTCCCCATCTGAAGTTCCTGTGACAGGAGTACTTTTGTGAAAGAAAGTATTCCTGTTCTCTATTTTAAAAATTATCATACTTGCGATGAGCAATCCTTGAAATGCTCAGAAATTAACATCTGACTTAAAGAAACCCCTCGCTGAGAATCTTTTGCCTTTGAAGAGTTGAGCGTCTTCAGCTGCTAAGACAATTTAGCAGTTTTTTAGCTTGTACTCGTGTGTCGGTCTTGATGTTACAGCTCTTACGCTGTTCTGGAAGGTACTTGTTAAATGCGTGGAAAGAGAAGCACTATGTAAAAGGAATTGTCCTCATCTTGCCTTGCACAAGATTTAGAGGCAAATTATCACAATGTGCCTTTTAGAATCCTACAGAATTACTGTTTTGTTAAACAAATTTGTATTATGCTTGTGTAAGTCATACCTTGAGTTATAAAAGTATGGGGAGAAAATACATCTGCCAGATTGGAAGCTTCTAAGAGAATACTATAGATAAAGTAAGAACCTACAGTAATTTTATTATTATTCTTATTTTTAAGAAGCATATTTTAAATTACACAGTTCCTGCCAGTATTTCATTCTGCAAAGTTTTTTTTGGGACACAATTATAATATTTTAATTTCCTGAAAGTATGAGGAAAAGACTGATGTTGAAAGAAGACAGGTTGTTTTGTTCATGTGCAATTTCCACACTTTTAATCTTTCTCCATTTATTTCAATCTTTGCTTTCAAAATATTTCAATTTATCTATGCCACATGGCAACCTGCACCAGGATTATAGCTGTTGGCAATGCTGAGGAGTTCAGCCAACTGTTTAGATAGATTAATTCATACCTAGTCAGTATGTTTGAAATACTGAGGCTTATTCTATTTTGCACATCAAAATCCTCAACTATTCCCTAGAAACTAGATGAAATTCTTCTGACAGTATGATTTTAACACAGGGGTCACATGAATATATGGAAATACAAAATCCACAAGAAAAATGCACAGACAGTGAGTTTACCAGTTTAATGGGGGAGAACATCTAACAAAGGCACAGTTTATTAAGCAAAGTATAGCATATTTTAATCCTATTTAATAGGAGAGACATCAGGTGAAGTAATTTTGTAGACTTACTGAGCATTACTATACTAGAATTTTCTTGGGTGCCACACAGTGACCTTTTTGTTAATATACTAGCTACCAACACCACCACAATCTTTCATATTTTTTTAGCAAAATGATACAGTTAGCTGACCCCATACCTACTGTATCATGGAACATTCTATTATTAGATTTTACTGGGATTCAAGGTTGGTTTCCAGATGCTTTCTTGTCGTTTTAAGGAACATTTTAACTGGCGCACAACAGTGACTTTTGTCTTTATTCATTTACTAGTTTGGCAAGACAAACAGTTGTATTAGGAGGAACTTCAGACACATTGTGTCATTTTCATAAGCCTTTATATAGAAGAATTGACCTTTTGTCAAGTATTGAAGCTGCTGCTAGTCAAATATTTAGAGATTCTTTGATATCTACTTTCAGTTCTTGAAGAGAAAATCATACATAACTTTTAAACAACTGTGTCTCTTAGAGCAAACCATTCCTATTTTAGAAGTCCACTGGATGGGGAAATTATTGTAGGAAACTTTTTCTCACAGAACTTGATACAAGAACAAGATACATGACTGAAGACTTTTTGGGTCATATGGAAATGTAATCTAATCACTAATTACATGTATTCAGCTTTTCCTGCATTCTTCCTATGAAAGACAAAAGAAGTCTGATTCTAACAGTAAGGGAACTCTAGCCTTGCACATCCTAGATACATTTCCCATGTCAAGTTACTGAAGACCATTTGTCACATAGAAAATATACTTTTAAAATTTTAATGCCAAAAAAAACCACCAAGCCCTATTTCGTAGTCCCTTTCTTTGGCAAATGTGCATAAGGATCCTGGTGCTATTGGTTGGAAAAACAGTCTGAGGGCCACAAGGCCACCAAGAGCTGTCCCCTGCAGGGTGTGAAAGCTGAGGAGGGGACTAGAGGGAAAGTCCTGTGAAGAGAGGCTGAGGGAGCTGGAGGTGTTTAGTCTGAAGAAGAGGAGACTCAGGGGGAACTTTGATTCCCGCTCAGTCCCCATGTGTTGCCTGGTCTAGTCGAGAGGTGGCATCCCTGCCCATGACAGGGAGGTTGGATTAAATGATCTCTAAGGTCCCTTCCAACCTAGGCCATTCTATGATTCTGTGATCACTATCTACAACTGCCAGAAGGGAGGTTGTAGTCAGGTGGGAGTTGGGCTCTTCTCTCAGGCAACCAGTGACAAGGATGAGGGGGCACGGCCTGAAACTGCATCAGGGGAGGTTTAGGTTGGATCTCAGGAAGCCCTTCCTCACGGAGAGGGTGCTCAGGCACTGGGATGCACTGCCCAGGGAAGTGGTGGAGTCACCGTCCCTGGAGGTGTTTAAGGAGAGGCTGGATGTGGCACTTAGTGCCGTGGTCTGGCCGATGTGGTGGTGTTGGGTCATAGGCTGGATGTGAGGATCTCAGAGGTCTTTCCCAGCCTCAACAATTCTGTGATTCTGTGACTTCAGTAGGCATTGGTGTACAACCTGGTCCCAACTTCCCCTGGAAAAGCAGACTGTATTAATCTAGTGGGCTGCTGCTTGAGCACACTCCTGCTCTGAGATTCAAATCACGACCTTTAGAATTTGTATATGCTAGTGAGAAATGGAACAGGAGTTTAGGTGCCAAGGACAACACTCAAGTCCTGGAAGAAAGACACCTGTAGCTGGTACTTGTCAGTAGAAACATCTGTGAGTGAAGAAGTTTTGCACTTTGGTAATTCTTAAGCCCAAATAGGATCCCCTGTGAGTCTTGATTTCTTGATTTTTTTTATTTTTTTTTTTTCCCCTGAGAGTGCCTGAACTGACGTCTACACTATAGGACTTTTCAAAGACTGGAGTGTTACCCCTGGTCTCTTGTCAGTGTTATTTTCTATCTATTAGAGGATGCTTCATTTGACAATGTGCTAGATTTTTAGGCTACTTCCCCTTCCTGGTGTGGGGTTTTTTTTGGTTTGAGGTTTTATTTTTTGAGGTTTTATTTGTTTGGGTTTTTTATAACTGTTTGTCTAATACTGGCCAAATGATAGAGATAAATATCTTCCTGGATTTATTTTTTTATTTTGTTTTTGAATGGATAAAATCAGAATGATGTAAAAGAGAAGCAAAAGTGAGTTATTTTAAGTTCAGTTTAGCAGCAGCCAGTCAGTGTGACACAGACATTTGGTTGTACCTTGGGACTAGCAGAGGTAGGTACTATCTCTTGCCTTGTTGACGGGCCAAAAATGCTAACTAAGGGTGAGACGGAAGGTACTGGAAACCTCAGGAGGTGCTCAAAATGCTGTAGAAGCAAAAGAGAATGGTAGCAGCATGTGAGAGGAACTGTATTTAGTGAACCAAGGGTGTTGTAATGTAGGAATCTTGTAAGTAGATGGAGATTTAGGAAGAATAAGACATAGGACACCAGGCTTTGTAAGACCTTTCACGGGTTTAGCAACCCAATCTGCTTACTTGTGTTTTTGTATTCGCCTGTTAATCGGCTTTCATTTGGTGGTCTCTTGAAAAATTTCCATGGAGAAGGTGGGGTAGAGTAACATGAGGTTGATTGCAGGCCTAATACCAGCAGTCATACAAAAGCTATTATCTTGCTAGTGCAGTTTTATTCTTTTGTTCTGTCTTGAGTGTTGTTTGTTTTTTTTAATAGCCCCCTGTGCCACACCAAATTAAAATAGTTAATTACTTTTCTATCTTCTGCTGTTAATCTTTTAGAGCAGTATACAGAGATTTTGATTCTTGCTTTCATGTATTAAGAATAATAATTTTAAAAGCTAGTTGAATAGTGTTCTGTGAGGAGTAAGGCTTTAAAACCAGTCAATTGTTGTTTTCAGTCTTTAGTCTCCTTGATTTCATGCCTTCATTAGTAGTTGTGCTACTGACACTGGTAGAAAAATAGCTGTTTGCAACAGCTTGTAGTTGGCCTCTTTTGCCTAGACCTAAAATCAAAGCGTTTTCCAAAACTGTAAGATAAAGATGTTTTTAATGTGTTTCATGTCTCAGCTATTGACAAGGTTATCATTGGATATGAGTACACATAGCACTACTAAATTTTGTGTAGTTATACCTACTTATAGAACCCAAGCATCTTAGATGATGGACATCCAAGACGTGACCTTCGCTGCAGGCTTTGGTTCTTGTCAAATGTCAGCTGTGAGCTGACAAAACACCTGCTATGTCCATGATAGCATGAGCTTGTGTTAGTTAGAACTTGTTTGTGGTTTAGCTGTTTTGAACAAAACAGAAATGTTAAGGATCCTGGTAATTTATGATGTTTTCTTTCAGGACCTCAGGGCAGAAACCCCGCTTGGTGACCTGTGGCATCATGACTTTTGGGGTAGCAAACTCAGCAGCAATACCAGTCATAAGTCATATCGACCACTAACTGTCCTAACTTTCAGGTAAGACTTGTCTTTTTGCTCAAGGTCTGAATTTTTTTAACTTATATTGGCTCAGTATAGGGAGGAGGCAACAGAAAAGGATAGAGACAATGTATCTGGAGGGTAGTTAGATACCTTTCCTGAATGTGACTTTTGTATTTTTCTGTTCATCTCAAGTTGAGTTTTAATTTTCGAATTGTTTCTTTCCCAAAGGATACATTATTTTGGCATTCTGTATTTCAATGTACCTTTCAGAGACCACGTCTTACGCTCTTATATAGCTTGGTACTAGGGCAGTATGGTTCAGTATGTAGGTCACATCATCAAAAGAACTAGGAGGCACACGTTCCCTTCACTTAGCGTTGGCTGCCACTTATAGTGCTATTGTAGCTTCTGTTCTCTGCTTTCTTGGTGACCTGTCAAATATTTTTTTATAAATAGCATCAGTCTACTGTGGCCTTTTGCCATGAGGTCACTGAATAGTCTTCCTCCCTATTCCCTCTGATATTCTAACTTCAAATGAGTGTTTGTGTCTGAGCATCCTAGTGAGAGAGAAGTCTGCCTGTATATATAACTTGCTGGTTTTCTCAACTAAAAGTTTATGATGAGGATTACTTCTGTAGGTGCTTAGCTCATGACTTTTGCGCAAAGATTTGAGCAAGCAGTAGACCATGTAGAAATTTGGAAAAATAATGCAGACGATCTTTGAGGATTCGGTCTTAAGCTTCTTTATTTTCTCCATGCAACTCTGTTGTGGATGGGGACTTGACACGGGTTCTGCAGTTGTGTCCATTCTAAGCCAGGGACTAAGTGATTGTGGAGGAAGTACTCCCACTCTTAGTCTTCACATTCAAGCAAAATCTTTGACTGCTGAGTGCAGTCAGTATTTTAAGTACTTAGCCTCATGGGTTTCACTGTCTGTTGGGCTTTCTTCTTATTCTTATCAAGAAAAATACGCAACTGAATAGAATGTGTCAGTCTTAAACCTACTAAAGCTTTCAGTGCATTACACAGCACATGCTTTCCCTTCTTTTCAAGGTCCCTGTGGTATAGTCCATCTCTAGTAACATCCTGGTTAGTTTAAAGAGTGAACTGAGATACAGTCATTGCTATATCTGAAAATATAGATGAGCGTGTGGAGATGGTCCATAAAATGCTATTTTCACAAGTAAGAAATTGGTTTTCTTAATTTCCCTAAGCTCCAGTTTTTGTATTTATCACATTTATAGTACCTTTGAGATTTTTAATAGATTTCACTTAAGCCAGATACAGACTGACCAAATGAAGTATATGAAATTCCCTATCCAATCTTAAGTTTCTGTATATCTCACCTACTGATAAAAGAGGATGGATAATAATGAGATCTTTCTCCTTTTTCTTCTCCCTTTCCGTTCTACTGCAGAGTTACTATTCTGAATAGGGATTTAGATGGAATTTTCAGCTTATACCTTTTTTCTGGTTCTCACAGTTGCGTGAAACCTCTCTCTAACCAGCCTCACAAATTAGTTACTAAGATGTGCTAACTGACTACTTTCTGGATACTGATTGTACCCAGATGGTTTCTACATCATCAGTTCCAATGCTAGGATGTTTTTCGGCTAAGAATATCAGTGGAATTATAGCCTTAGTGTGTATTAGTTTCCTCACTGTGTGGATTTAATTAAAATAACTTGATCAGGTTGGTTTTGGACGCAGCTTCCCTTAAGCCCAAGGGTATCCCCCCAGTAGGCTGGATTGTTTATCTGCAGGACATGCAGTGAGGTTATGCCCCGACCAAGAGCTGGTTCTAAGTAACAACAGGTATGATTAACGTAACGGCATTAGCATTTGTCTTTGGAGAGGACAGGTATTATGCTGACTGTATTATCCCATATGAATACCTTTCAGTAAAGATCAAGGCACTGTTTCTAGCCAACTGTGGTGACTAAGAGGTAAGGGCACGTGTGCTGGGGTTTGCTGGTATTTTTCAGGCTTTTCTTTTTCTTTTTTTTTTTGCATGTGTATGTGTCTAATATGATCTTGCTACAGGGTTGTTTAGTTTTTTCTGTTTGCCTGTGTCTCCAACCGTTGATGTAATTGTTAGCCTTAATGTTTTTGTTTCTATATAGAATTAATTACCTTTTTGCTGGAGGCTTCTACCCAGTTGGTTTCCATGTCATCAATATAATACTGCATTGTATTATCTCAGTGTTGATGGTTGATGTGTTCTCAATATTACTGGGTGGACTGCAGTTCAGTAATAAAGGAAGAAGGCTAAACCTGGCTCCAAAGACATCTCTTCTAGCTGCTTTACTGTTTGCTGTACATCCAGTGCACACCGAATGCGTAAGTACTGAGCAATTAGTTCCAACAATTTGTATCTTAGAAGTTCCTGACCTTTTTGACTAATTAGTTCTGACATAGCCTTATACTCTACACATTGCTTTTATATGTTCTCAACACTTCTCTTGGCACATGTCTTATGAGAACAATCAAATATTATGGTTGATAAGTCCAAAAGCTTGTAATTCCGTAGGGCTGGACCTTATTAAGAAAGAGAAATTAAATAATTTCATTACACTAACTGAAGAAGGACAGCCTTAAACTTCAGTTACCCTAATTACTGGATTAAGAATTCATTACTAGAAACATTAGCTCATGAGCAGCCTAGGAGAATGGACAATAAACTGAGTGCAAATGCATAACTACCTTTCATTTCTGTTTGCTTTGATAGAAAAGCAAGAAGATAGAAATTTGGAGTAGGGGTATTATATGAACTCTGTGTATAGCTGTGTTAGAACATTGCATCCAATTTTGAATCCATGCTGCAAGCAGAGCACTGGGAAAAATGGAGAGGGCTCAGAAGAGCCGTGAAAATGATTAAAGGGTTTGGAAATCATGCCATGTCATGAGAGATCAGACTCCATGGATTTATATTTTTAAAATGAAGAAGATTAAAGGATTTTTTTTTTAATCCCAGTCTGTAATTATGTACATGAGGAACACAAATGTGATAGTAGTGGGCCCTGTAATAGTGCAGACAAAAGCATAACAGTGACTGGAAGTTGAAGCTGTAAAGATGCAGAACAGAAATGTGGCACATGTGTAGCAAGCATTTAAAATACCTGACCATAGATCAAAGCCCTTGTGTGGAAATTCTAGTGAAGAGGACATGATTTTCTTAAAAAGCTCTTTTGCAGTCATAGCTAAGAAAATCTTGTGGCTTTTTGCCAGAGGGTTTGCTGGATGTGGTCCCTGATTGCTTGATCTTGTAATAATGAATAAATGAAATATAAAATAATCACAGTGCAGGAATTATTTTTAAAATTTTTTTTAGAGTTTGAAAGGACTGAGCAACTGAAAAATTACTGACTTTAGCTTTGATTTTTGTGCTAGCAGTGAACACCTGAGTCTATTCTATGTATGTGGCACCAGTTAGGTTTTTTTAGTTTTTTATTTATTCACAATATGCCATGGTTTTGGCTTTTTTCATTTGCTTTACACATGATTCATGGGGAAGAGGTCATGGAAAGCTATACCTCTGAGCTGCATGGGGGCCCCTGCGTGTATTGCAGACTTAGAGATGGTGCGAAGTTATGTATTACTAATTTGGCACCTTTTTTGGCCGTGTGGCTAAAACATCCTGCCAATCGTTTTCTCCTGTTTGCTCACATGCAAAATAGCTTCTTTTATGAAAGTGTGTTGTGCTAGTGTTAGAAGGACCCCTTTTATTTGCTCTCCAAAATGAGTTCTAGGTGCCAAAGTGAAGTAAAACAAGTCTTCAGTGCTTTTGATGTTCTGACATGGAAAGAGAAATCTCACTTATTTTAACTTCATAATAGGCCTACTACTGACTCCTTTATCAATATCGGTAATTTTATTCTTCTTTCCTTTTGACTCTAAAAATATGTTTAAGTCAGCATGGAAATGTTAGTAAGACCTTGGTCATGTCAAATAAATTACAAGTGATGCAGTTTGCTTGCATGTGTGAGGTGTGAAGACTTGCACATGCCTTGGGCAAACATTGGAACAAGCGGAAAAATGTAGCATGCTTCCATATTGTGTCTCTCCTAAGATCCAGGAGTGAATAAATGCCTCTCATCCTTTACATGGTCAATAATAAATCTTGCTGCACTGAAGCAGTTATGGTACTGCTGTGGTTCTAGCATGAGTTTGTGAGGCACATCTCAAAAAGCATTCCTTACGGTTTTAAAGCTGTGAGTTTTAAGTATCGTGACATCTTGGTTTTGAAAGGAGATGACATATTTTGACATGAAGTTGTGAAGAAATCTGTCTGTTTGCTGCTTTGGATTTTGGTATATACAGCACAAAACAAACTGTCATGTAAAACAGATCTTGAAAAGTTTAGTGCTTTCAGTATCTATGTAAGAAAAACATCTGTCGTCATTTTTCTACCTACAAGTAAATAGTCTTGTGGTGTAGCTCTGTCTTCTAAAAAATGCTCATTCGTTGATACTGTAAATATTCTTTGGTACTATAAATATTGACTTAAACAAGGACATAAGAATATACCTGATGCTAATGTAAAAATGCATTTTTTGGTTCACCTGGTTACCTGATTCTGCATTTCATAAAATATTGTACTGTTGGAGTCGTCTGAGGCCATATCTGTGTTATTAGCCCTTTAATCTCTTTGTTTTAACAAGTTGGCATTTATTTTGAAAATTGTATCAGTTCACCTTTACTTTTATCTCATTAGCTGACAACAGCCCCTGAAACAGAATGACACTTCATTATTTTCACCTTCAAGTGCTTTCACTTGACAGCTATTGAGTTAATCTTTATAATTCCTTTATTAGGTAGACAAAAAAGGCAGGCAAGTTAGATGAATGCCTTTGGATAAATCAAGAAGTTTTGCTAAGCTGAATGTAAGAGTCCAACAGTTTCTTCTTTTATGGTGCTCAGGTGAAGTTCAGGATAAAGTGGGAGAGAGTCTCTTCACCCTCTCTACACTTCTCTTTCTCTCTCTAATGGTATTTAGAAATAGTTGTTCCATCATGTCAGATGGACACCAAAAAAATGCCCTTTTCCTAAGAGAGGTTTAGCAGAGTGCTTTAATCAAAATGAAAGTATAATTTGTCTTTTTACTTTCCTCTTTCTGTTCCACTCACAAAATGGCACAACTGATGTACTGTACAAGAACCAAAGCTTCTGCTTTTGCCCCTGAAATACCACTTCAAGAAGTGGATTAAAAAACCAACCCTATGGCTGTTGTGCCCTGCTTCAGAAAGGCCGCTGTGTACATCTTCCACTGGAAATGTGGAACCCAGCACTGCAGGAAGTAGAACTAGACTGAATAGTAAGGATGTTTCCACGATCCTTGTGCGGGGTGTACGTTCTAGTGAGGTCCAGATCTAAGGGCCTAGAGAGTTCCCTGCCAACCCCCTATGTCATGATTTTCACCAGAAAAAAATCATAGTATATCCTGATATTCGTATAATTGAGAAATGAAGATCCCAAAATATGTCGTGCTGTGTCTCAGCAAGTTATTGTAAATACAGTTTAAGGGCTTGAACAAAAGCTTGTTGATGGCCCTGAGAACACTATTGATTTAAAATAGTTGGCACAGATCTGAAGTGCAGAGGTTCCCAGAACGCACTTCTCATTTTCTTTTGCATTAGTACAACCTCCATTACAAGGTGCATTTGGAGGTAGCTCTAATGCAATCAGTTAGTATAATACAAAAAACTGCGGGACCGGGGATTTTCTGATTCTGCAGGCTGGAAGCTCTTTGTCTATTCTGAGTGTTTAGACTGCAATGTGAAGGCTGGCTTGTCTTCTGAAAGTGGATGGCCTTGATTTGCGTTTCATCAGAGCTGCCAGTTTCACTGGGATTCAGGATTTTTGTTAAGAGTTTTACTGAAAGGCAACCTGATCCAAAAAACAGATGGAATTGGGCAGAGTCTGCATTTTATTCACTGAGGTCCTTCTTAATTTCTTAAGACAGCAGTTTTTGATAAAGCCAAATAATTTACCTAGTTGATGCTAGGCAATACCCAAATAAAATTAACATGTGGCTTAGAAAACTAAGGGTCAATAATCCAGTGAAACAGGTTAAAAAAAGAAAAGTGATACAGTGATATTCTTTTATACATTTCACTTTGTATATGTGTGTGTACATTTAGCTCAGGTTTTTTAAGAATAAAATCTGGTGATAAGAACGTTTTTTCTTTTCTTTTTTTTAAGGTTGCCGGAATTGTTGGCAGAGCAGACCTTCTGTGTGCACTGTTCTTTTTGTTGTCATTTCTTGGCTACTGTAAAGCATTTAGAGAAAGTAAGCATTCTGTTTCCCCCTTTAATTTTGTATTGTCTATATTTTCTTGTTTATACATTTCAGTGAAGTACAGCAAAACTAAAAATGTCAGCTTGATGTGGTTTGAATTTATTAATGTTTATACCCTCATAAAATATTTAAAAACCCCCTCCAAACTACTTTAGCAGGTATTTATTGTTAGAAGAGCTGGAAGAGTTCCTGCTTCTAATTCCCGTTAAAGACTAAGAATTTATTTTTAAAAAGTGTATTTTATGATAGCCTTATTTGTTAAATGTTTTATTGTTTAGAAGAATAAAAAGTATTTTAATAAGTATTTTAGAAAGAAATCAAACTTATAAATGTGTGTTCTTAAATATTTTAATACACTTTATGCCATTATGTTGGAATAGCTCAAAAGGGAACAAACTTTAGGAACCTTGCTTGTATTTTTAATGAATTGTAAAGAATTATTCATAAGAGTAAGCCCTCCAAATTCCTGCAATATGCAAGTGCTGGCATGTACGTGCTGAAAATAGTGTTACTCATCAAGTTTTTGTAAGACAGCTGTGTTTAACATGAACGGTTTCTTCGTAGATGTGTTTTCAATTGAGCTTTTACATCTGTTGTATTATTTGACCTGAATGCAGGTTGACAGTTCAAATACAGTTGTGGAGAAATTATCTTGAGGCTCTGTTAAATAAACACAAAAGAATACATGAATCCATGACTATGGAAAACTGTAGAGGACATGCAGTCCGGTATCTGAACGTGGCCCGCCAGAGGAAGTAGGAGAGTCATCTGGGGAACCCATAAGGAGCCGTATTGTGGAGAGCTTGTTTGATATCATTTCAGTAGGCGCGACCTGTCGTGTTTAAGCGGAGTTGGCAGTATATTACGGTGGTACCCAAGCTGGCTTTAAGTGATCTCGCTTAACAACATTTTCATGGCATCATAGAGTTTAGTGTAGGACGAGGAGGGGTAGGTTAGGCCACAGTGAGCTCTGAGATGCTGTGAACAGCTCCTGATAATTGAGTTTAGATTGTTTAGAACTATTTTGCATATTTCTACAGCTGATATCATAAATTTAACTTACTCTTCGCCACTTCAAATGATGCTTATGGTGATTCCTGTTCACTTCTAATATTTTGTTCTCCCCTTTGAGTAAGTTTCCTTTCTTTCAACTGAACTAATAATTTCTTGATGAAAATTGGCCTCAGGATCTTGCTCTTTTATTACCTATTTTACTGTGTATGACTGTGCTTTGATGTTTCTTCTATTAGTGCCAGAGTAAATTAGACAAATCAAAATATTCGCAATGTGCTTTCCAGTTTATTGGTACAGGTGGACCTATGTGGCAGAGGTAATAACCTTTACTTGAATAACTCAAGAGTAAAACTCTTAAGATGACCATTGGAGAGTTTTATATAGGACTCTGTAATTACTTTGTTAAGGAGGACATCTCAGGAATGATTAATAATGTGATATGTACTCTGTTTAGGGATATTCTGAGTGCTTGTACAACTTGCCAAGGCCAGTTTGATAGCTTTTAGAAGTCATTGTTGCCACGTTCAGGACATGACTCACTCAGGTTCCTGATTCCCAGGCCAGGATTAAGGTGACTTACACCAAAGATCCGAACAGCAATTTCATTTATCAATCACCCGACACCGAGGTATTTGCAATTGCCCCCTCAGCGCAGCCAACATGCTTCACAACAACAAGTCACCAGTAAGCAAAAGAAAACGGCTTTGCCATAGGTAGCTTCCTGTTAAAGCTAGAAAGAGAGAGAAGGGACGGGACAGAAAAAGGAAAGATCGCCACCCCTGGATCCAGCGACGACCATGGCACACGACCATGGCACACGCAGCCGTCTCCGAGTGGTGGGCGAAAAAAGCGCGCAACTGCCCGGGGCGAGCACCTTTTATACAGTCAAGTTCCCACCACAGACCGGGAACGAGGTTGGGGGACGGCGGGGGCTTTGCGGCA